GTTGGCTGCTCCAGCTTGGCCAGGCAGCCTGGTGCAGCACATCGCTGTCCCTGCTGGGACACAGACCTCTCTGAGGTCTGGGCAGGGCTTTTTTTGTGGCCAAGATCTGTACAGGAAATAACTACTGGTCTACTTCTGCACTCTTCTCTCGTTTCCCTGGGAAGGGAAGAAGGATGTTGCACAGGTGAAATAGTGACGACCACTCCCAAAATGCGCATGGGTGCCCTGTGCTGTTTATTGAACTTGACAGAAGCTCAGAGGTGCAGCGGCTTGCGCCCCACAAGTCAATAGTGAGGCACACAGAGGTGCTGTCAGCATCTTACCTGTGACAGGCTTAGTTCACCTGTGCCAGCCCTCCCACAGGCAGCCTCGTGTGTATCTCTAGTGTGTTACCTCATACCACCTCTGTCTACAGTTCTGCCTTGACGTGATATTTTCATCAGAGGGTCCAGCAGTGTCACCTGTGCTGTAGGATGCGTCTGGGGTATGTAGCCCAAAATCCCCCCAAGGACTGTGCCCTTTGGACAGTCTTTTTTGTTTGCTTTGATTTTTTTCTTTCAAAATAACCAAAATAACAAAGTGGATTGCTGGACATTCAGCTCCTCCAAGATTTTAATGAAATGAAATGGAATAAAATAAAGCATATAAAAGAAGTGGAATTCATCAGAGACTATAATGATGACCTGGAAGAATAGACATAAGAAAGTGAGCCTTGTTTAATGATTGTTTACAGTGACAGCCCAAATTTTAATCAATTAGCATATGAGTCCATTACTTGAAAGATGCGATGGGCCTGTGAGATAGCATTCAGTACTTCTTCCTTTCTCAGGGGAGCTGCAGGGTATCGGCTGACATCTTGGAAGCACTCCTTCCTCACAGATGCTTTTAAAGCTGCTTTTCTGACTGCAGAAGGCTTAGTTAAGCCTTACCACATGTATTTTGTATATGCTCTTGGGTACTGTTTCATCCTGTGACCCCCTAGGAGACCTCATTGACCTTCTCACAGCTTCTTGAGCCTGAGGAAAGCTCAGTCAGCCTTTATATTGCCAAGTTTTCTTCAGCGCTACACTTAGGAACACAGAAACCTAATAGATTTATTGATATAACTATAATCAGAAGTCATAGCCAGGATGATAAAATGGTCAAATGATCAAATTACTTAAAATTAGAGGCGTATTGAAGTGCCTCAGGGACCGGGATGCTGCAGGCAGGCAGCCAGCCTGCTGGCCAGCTGTGTGACAGCGGGATGTGTGCTGGCAGCCCTGTGTGGGCAAGAGGACCTGGGGGGAGTCCCAGGACCAGTACAGCAAACAACCAAAAGAGATGAGGCTGCTCCAGTTTTGTCACTTGTGAAAGGAAGTGGACATGGCCAGTTTTCAGGTTGAGTGTGAGAGGAGAAGCACCAACACTGGGTGCTAGCTAGGAGCAGGGCAGGATTTCTGGGCATGACAAGTGTTGGGGCGAGGCTCTCTTTGGGATAGGGGATTCCTGTGACCCACAGGATCTGAGGTCTTGTACACCATTAGGACTGTCACCTTATGTACGCCCTGAGGGCCAAGCAGGGACATCACGGTTGGATTCTGCTAGATTAACAGGAGACAGTCCCCCTTCTGCGTTTTATAATGCTTCAAGAAGTGAAGGCACCTTTACCTATGGCTACAGGATTTCATTCAATCAAATATGTTGTGCCATTCGTTTTGTATTTATTACATCGCCACTGGATCCCGCTTAAAGATGATGTATGCTCTGCGGCCGCGTGTGCCTGGGCATGCACATTTGGAATAAATGCCCCACCTTCTTCTCTGTAATTTATTCTTCTGAACTTTGAGGGCATGGTTGAAATGGCAGACTGCTTGTTCCTCTAGTTTGAAAAAACATGTTTGAATATACTGTCATTTTCCCTGATAAGATGAGCACTATAAATTAAACAGAGTCAGCAACCCAGGCACATTAATCTTCCTGATGCAATCCTACCTTTAGCATTTCCTGACATATATTTGATGTTGACTTAAGTGTGCAGCCTTAAAGTAGGATTTGAGTGTATATGTGCAAAAGCAGTAAGAAACCGCAGATGCAAGCTAGAAGCTGTATACTGAAAACTGTGCAAGGGGTGGATGATGCACACACAGATCCTTGCAGCAATGAGATTGGGGTAACAAGTTTACTGTAGTGTTTTTTCACCGCCCAGCTAGTCATCCCTAAAAATCCCTCTTCACACAGGAGATCCTATAAGACTTGAGCAAAGAGTTTCATCCCGAGGTTGTCCCTTTCTGCTCTGCCTTGCACACGAGCCATCTGACATCAGCACAAGTAGCCCGTGGTTCGTGGTGCTCGTGTGATGCATCCTCCTAATACAGTGTGCAGCGACAGAGATCTTGCTTGGAAAGAAAGGCTGGTCTCACATTCAAGGTTTTAGAATGGAGTTGAGAAAAATCTTGATTCTCTTTGCACTTTTACTGAAAGAGGTCAGAAAAGACATTTTGGAACTTCTGTTTTTTTGGATGGTATCAAAAGATGCAAATAAATGCCTAGTGGGCTCTGAAATGGTCTTTGAAATCAGTGGGAGATAGGTCTCTGAGATTTCAAAAATCCCACACAAAGTGTTTGCATGCATCTTTAAGCATCTAAACACCTTTAAAAATATGTCTCTTAAGTGTCTTACTCTGAGCATAGGTTCCTGTGTCCCCTAGGCATTTCTGAAATTGCATCCGAAGTTGCTTAGATTTCCCCTAAAGAGCATCCTTTTGTTTTAATTTTCTCGTTGACTTAATTTTATCTTGACTTGAGACATAATATATATTAACCTACACTCATTTTTTGTAGCAAAATGTAGAGAAGTGAAGCTGTTTCTGAGCTGTTTTATTACAAAAAGGAGCATATGGCTGATTGTGTCCCATCTGAAATGCAAATGGTGGAGCTACGTGGAAAGAATTACTATTACTTGAGCAGTAAATGTTTCCTAATGAAGTGAGTTTGACTAAGGTGGGAAGCTGGAAACAGCTGCAGGAAGATATGACAACGGTTAACATTTCATTGGAAAAGAACATTCTTATTCTGCTGATAAGGAGGTTCTCAGGAAATGGACTGGATTTTTTCTTATATTCTGTGTGTTCACCAGTGTGGGGAAATTGTTACAGAGGGAGCTAGACTTTTTTCTTCCACTAGTTATGAAATCATGTAATTTAATTTATAACCACAGCTTTTTAGTTGGCCTCTTTTTGAGCAGGAGTTTTCTGTATTTTGTGAACATTTGGGGAAAACAGACCTACCCAACATTAAAAAAAAACCCCAAAAAACTAAAAGAAGATGACTACCAGTTCCACTGATTTTCATCACCTTGGGCACGTTTGCGGAGGCCAGAGGCCAAAGGGGGTGATGGAGAGATCTGACCCATGCTGTCTAATTTCCTATGCTTCCTCTTTCCACCAAAGTTTTTCTCTTACGTACATCCCTCTACACTTCCAGTGGTCGGAGGTGTCCAGGTATCTGTTGCAAATGGGAGGTGAACTGACTTTTAAATGCTTTCTTAAATCAAGCAGTGAGGCTAGAGGCTGACATTTCCATTACTTAACTTTCCAAAGGGAGAGCTGTGGAGTCGGCGCTGTGAGGTTCAGCGCAACCAGTGGGCTGGAGATAAAGCATCGGTCACATTACTTTGCCTTAAATGTCAGAAGGAGCCGGGAAGAGTTTAGATAGCAGCATGTGCGCAATTACGTGCTCAGAAAAGCTGAAGCAGCTGCCAGGTTAGACCTCTGGCTTTGTCCCTGAGCAAGATCACGTTGGTGTTAATGTAAGCATTGCTGAGGCTGAGATGTCTGTTACATGGCACAGTTGGGGGACAGAAGATTAACATGCCTTTCCCTCGTGGATCCCCAAGGGTGTCTGACATCGCTAATGATAATGAAATAGGAGAAACCTAAAGAAAAAAGGCTGCAGCCTGCTGTTGATGGAAGTAATTGGGTTTCTCCATCTTCTGAGCAATGGCAAGGCTTGCTGCGATCAGGACGTGTCCACATTAGTATGTTAGTTCAGATCTGGACCAGACTTCTGAAGTGAATCCCCCACCGCGCTTTGGTGCACATCTCAGGGCAGTCCAGGAGCTCATGAGCTAGATCTCTGTGGCTCTGGAGATGCCTCTAAGCTCCCTGAGGACAGGGCCACTGCTACCCTACCCATACTTGCCCATGCTCTGCTGTCAACCGTGGGAGCCTGCACCCCGCACAGAGCACGTCACCAGGTTGGGAGTGGACACTGATCTTCCTGGCTGACACCTGGGTAAGGCTTTTTGACTGCTGAGTTATTCAAATGCTTCAGAAAGCACTTGTACACAAAGTCTCTCCTAAAAACATCATTCCCCTGGTATTTATAGCAAGTAGCCCCACCACATCCAGGAGATGAGGAAGATCCCACCCCCCCCGGGCACAGAGAGTATAGTCACATCACTGCTGTCAGTCTCCGTCTTGGCAGGTGGTTTTATCTCAGTAGGGTGAGATGAGGCTTCAGTATCGCATCTTTCATTATGATCAGAGTGCCTACATGGGCTGTAATTATTATCAGAATCAAATCATAAATCAATATAAAACTACATTTATGCAGTGTTGCATACAACAGGCAGCACCTCAACAGAGGTGAATTTTTGTGGGTTCTTTAATTGCAAGAGGGCGCAGCAGCTTGAGTAATCTGCATATCTGCTTGTGTGTTCTTTGGTTTACAAGAAATTACAAGTGGAAATGCTGTGGCTTAGTTTTCCGTTTGTAACACTCTTTTTTATCTTTCCATTTGCTTGCTTTTCTTTTCTGTGTCTCTTCCCTCTCCCTGCATTTCATTTCCATCCAGAAATACAAATGACCTCTTGACAGAACTTTCCACTTTCATTCTGTTGATTTGCATTGTGCAGTCAGGAAAATACAAACACTTCTATTTCTGAGATGTATTTATGATGTCATGAAAAAACTTTCTCATATTAGCCTCTTCTTTTTTCTCTTGCTTTATCTTTTCAGGTGTGTGTGCAACATTGACTGTTCTCAAACCAACTTCAATCCTCTTTGTGCTTCCGATGGGAAATCTTATGATAATGCATGTCAAATCAAAGAGGCATCATGCCAGAAACAGGAGAAAATTGAAGTCATGTCTTTGGGTCGATGTCAAGGTAACTCTCATAACAAAACTCATTTCAAAGAATGTTTTCAATTCTTGTTCAGGGAAAAAAAGACCCAGGTCTGGCTTCTTATTTGGCACTTCTTACATTTCCATTAGACTCTTGCAATTTATGTTGTAGAGCACAGGCTGCAGGAGGGGGCAGAGCCCTCCACAGTACAGATGCCAAGCAAGGGGTGAGGAGTGGTGTGCATAACCCTGCCCACACCCTGCCCACAGCCACAGGGGACTGTCCAGCCCTGCACTGGTTTCAAAATCAGGCACCTGTGTTTTGCCCAGAGCAGCTTGCCCAGAGCTCTGCCCTCTGGACAGGAGTCAGAGCAGGACAGCAGGAGAGCCCCTCAGATATGTTTTGCCACCCAGGGTGGATCCTCTGTTGCTCCCTTCACTGGAGCAGCGTGAAGCAGTCTCAGGAGGCCAAAGATGTGCTCCTGATCACAGTGCTGGTGCTTGTTTCTCATGTGATCTGCGCTGGGCCCACAGGATGCCAAAGGTGCCCAGAAGAAAATTTTACCAATAGCAGCTCAAGACTGTGTTTCTCCATGAATGCCGTGCTTCTCTGTGCCCAGCTTATGCCTACTACATCACCTGTAACCCCTGAGTTGACTTTAAAAACTCTATTTTGTTCTAAGATAAAAATGAAGGAAATTTGCCTTTAAATAGCTCCTGTAAATAAAGTGTCTACTGAGGCTCAGACTCTTAATAGCTTTTTTCCCCCTTAGCTTCTGACCTATAAATCCTCAGTACATCTACTTACAAAGCCATACTATACAGGTGTATTAAACATATTCTAGTTTATTCCTAACTCTCTAAAGTTAACCACCCTACGTGGCAGTTCATTTCAGGGTACATATTAAAACTCCCCAATTACTTCAAATAGAGCAGAAGTGACAACTCCTGCTTCATACTGATATATTTATCCCAGCTGCAATCTGTTATCACATATTGTTAGGAAAAAAATGTGTTTTCTTAATGGAAGATGTTTCATATTTCATTCCAAAAAGCCGGATTGTGCTGTTTTCACCTGGCAGACCCAGGGGAGCCTTGCAGCCAGCAGCGATGCTGTGCATGCAAGCGAGGCTACGTTTGCCTGGGCACTGATGGTTGGGGCATAGTCTGTACCAAATACAGGCTCCCCAAGTGATTCAACGTATTTCTCTTCACACAGATAATACTACAACAACTACAAAATCAGAAGATGGGCATTACGCAAGAACAGATTACGCAGGTACGGTTCTTACTCTGTGAGAATCACAATTCACAGGAACTGTGTAAGTTTCTTTTCTCCTCCATTTGCTAAGGTGAGGCGTCCTCATCTTCTAGTATGGTTTTCTTGGTTCGCATTAGGTAAACACTGTCTTCACATTACTCTTTCTTTTGCTAGAAATTGTTTTTCTTCTTAATAAATGAGCTTCTTCCATTTTTATCAATGTACAGATATTCTGTCCATAAAACACCTGTTTTGACAGTGGAAATAAGTATTGTAAACTATTTAGCAGAATTAGCAGACATTATTGAAAATTACTGTATCAGTGCACTGGATTATATGTAGTTCTGTCACTATATACAGGTTTAAGAAAGTGAAAATCCAGAGCATAGCACAGCTGCGATACCATTAAACGTTGCCATAATAGATAATATTACCTGTCGGAAGTTAATAAGGTTCTTAAAATGTTTTTTTTAAGTGATAAATGGTTTTAATTTGTTTCAAAGCTACAATAAAATATAATGGCTGAATAGCCTTATATGGCATTTGAAATTAAAAACATGTAAATACTAGTGAGGTTTGGGAGACATTTTTCACACCCTTTGCCTGGGAGGATTGATTTAGAAATTGAATGTGTGTGTGAGCACGCATGCAAATATTCACAGCTCGCACTGAGAATTCAAGCCTTTGGGAAGGTATTGTGAAAATGGGTCAGGTGATGCATTCATTGCTTAAGTTTGTGATATTTTTGTGTTTTGAAAGTATTTAGAGAGAGTAGGTACAGATCGCTGGGTTTACTTGAGCAGCTTGCTGCATGGCTTAGGTAAAATCCAGCTGATGGTTTCACAGGTCTTAACATTTCTCACAGGGAGAGTCCTCTGGCTGTAGTTAATTCAGCTGGTCATCTCTTGTGAGGGCCCTTTGTGCATGACATTCCTGCACTAATAGAGTACCCAGCCATTAGAAACGATTGTTCTGCTCCTACTTAAAAATGGTGCGTGATGATTAAAACATAGAGCTGTGAATAAATGATGTCTCGGTGAGGCAGAGGAGTGCTAGGTGTTGGAGGTGGCTGCAGCATGAAGCAGACAGGGTAGAAATTTCTATGAAAAGTAAAAGCTGAGATTAATTTCCAAAAGATCAAAGATGAGCTTTGGTCCAGGTATTTGCTACTGCCAAGGAGCCCTTCCATGGGTGAAGAGCGTCATGCAAAGAGAGAAAAGTCTTCAGTCTCTTTCCCCAAACTCTTGATTACTCTCAGTTTTTTTTTCTGGGAGGCAGCAGTCAGTTTTCTTATAAGGCTGGAAGGGCTGAGGTTTATCCTGTGACAGGCAGGAGGTGCAGCCAAGTAGGCCAAAATGATTTATTTTAAGTTGGAAGTAAGGGCAAGGAATATTGTTGTGTTAAATCCTTTTATCTTCCTGGATGGAGAACTGAGGAGAGCACTGGCATTCCCAAGTCAAGATGAAGGCCTGCAGGCCCTTTTTAAATGTTGTGCAACCTGTCCTACTCCTCTACTGTGTGGTGGTTTAGCTTTAGGGATAGCAGTGACCCACGTCACCTAGAGAGGAGACAGCACATTTAAGCATGAAGCAACTGAATTGTAACAAGAAGGCAGGAAAGGCATTTTGAGGATTAGGGAGGCAGAGGAGATCACGGCGACGACAAGAGAAAGCCAAGTCATGGGTCACAGAGGAAGAGGCGCACAGAAGGCACCTTCCGCTCAAGTGGGCAGGAGGAAGAGAACAGCTCTTGCTTAGGAGAGAGATGATATTTCAGCCCACGCTTGAGAGATGGTGGGTAGAAGAAAATTGATTGCAGCAAAACGTTGTCAGGGTCTAGGAGTCAAGCAGGGAACACAGGAGGAAACTGGGTGACTGGGCAGGGAGGATGGCAGAGCTACGGCACGGAGGAGCAGGTCTGTAGTGGAGATGGTCTCCAAGTGACAGGAGGTCAGAAGGACTATGGGAGCAGATGGTCCAGCAAGAGGTGACGGGACCCTGTGAAGAGGAGCCTACAGGGCACCTCACTCTGTGAGAGCCATGCGAGAGATGGAGACATTCTGAATCACCAGTGAGGTCCAGTAGGTACTTTTTTGGCACAGAAAGGCACCATCCTTACACCTCAACAAGCAGCTTCTCAGGGCTTCTGGTATGACTCAAGCCCCAAATGGCCTTCTCGAGGGCAGTGGCTGTGTCCCCTGGGTGGATCTCAGTAGGTACCATCCATTGATGTAAGCTGAACCACAGTCATTTGCACCAGCTGATGTCTTCTTTTTGTGCACCTAACTACTATTCTGGCTTAAATTTTTCATTTTTACATACAGTGACAGCATATAGGATGAAAGTCACAAGTTCATGCAGGGCAATCCACATGCCTCCTGTGTCCCCAAATGTTTGTGGCATAACCCTGCCAGGAGACCCTAGGGGAAAGGGACCACTGTATCAAAAAAACTGTAACAGCTCCAGTCTTTCGGAAATAGTTCTAAAAAGGAAGACAGCAGTATAAAACCGAGGCTCAGTGAACATTCAGGCTTCAGTGTTTGCCAGGCAGGAAGCTCCATGCAGTCCTCATGTTCTTTCAAGTGCAGAAACATTTGATGATGGCTATTATAGGAATGTGGTATGTGCTACTTTTTTCACACCTTCATATCTCCTCAGAAGGGAAATGCTGCCCTGACCATAGGGAGCTTTGTGTGAAAAAGCAGCAGTTCCTCAGCCGTCATGCCTCTGAATCAATTTCCCTCAGCCTGCGCCTTTCCAGAGAATACCTTTGTTCTCTACCATTTAATGGCACTAAAAATCGCCGAGACCGTGAGCACTACACGCTTTTAAAAACATTGACTTTTATGGACTGACTTTCCCAGGGGAGAAAATAGCAGTGGGCATAATTGATGTTGTCAATTATGCTAATACAGCAGCGCCAAATGCTCTTTGCAGAGATTGTGGTAGCTGAGTGGTGCGAGTTTTTCCATAAACACCCCCACACGCTCAATGTGGGGTACCAGAAAGGCAGCAGCTTTGCGAACAACCACAAGTCCCAACACCCAGCTGATTTTTTTCATATCGAACTATTCAAACCGTCTGTTCAATCAGTGTCTTTGCTCGCTCCTGTTCCTTCAAGCCCTTTCATACTTGCAAATAACGCACAAAGCTTTCAGTTTGCAAAAAGGAGAGTACTCATTTCTTTGGAGCGTAAATCCTTGCATTAAGTTTGCATCGCCTTGGTTTTTTAAGGTCTCTTACTTTACACAGGCAAGATTTACTGGAGTATTGGAAATGCCTGACTAATGTCAGGCACGCCCAAAAAGCAGTGTCCCGTTTTTCAGCAAGGCAGACATGGGGAGAGTGAACTGTGGGTGCCCTTCTCTGGCAGCGTCCCCCTCTCCAGGTTCACCAGTCCACCCTTGCCATGGCTGCGCGTGCGGTAGGTGTCAGCACAGCGTCTGTGCGCGGGTGTGGTTGTGTCTCTCTTTGTGCAGTTCTGGCCTCTCATTTTGCTGAAACCACAAAGTATTTATCAGACTTGGGGGATTTTCACTCTCTTCAACAAATGGCAGATTGCTGACGTTGATCAAGTTGGAGAAATAAGATTTGGTTTTAGTCAATAAATGAATGGGTGGGATTTTTCCCTCAAATCCAATAGAAATACACTTTATCTTTCAATTTCCATGAAAGAGCATTTTTAAACATCTCAAGTGTAATGTATGTTTTGGAATGTACTGTCTAAGCTGAAAGTTCTGTGATTAATGTTTTCTTAAATTTCCTCATTATATGCATAAAGAGGTTGGCTATTTTGATGGCATTTTTGCATTCAGAGTCTAGGCAATCAAGGAGTTTTCATCTTGTTTATTCATTTGCCTATTTATTTTTATTCTTCAATATTTATATTCCCTTTTTAAGATCTGGATATTAGCAATTATTCCCCTAACTGGTTTTATCCTTTCTCATTATCAAATTACTGAGATTTTTTTCAAGCTGTTTTGAGCACTATTAAGAATAAGTCAGTATGGATGAGCCATATTTCAATGTTATATATTCATGAAAATTGTCAGCAAAGACATTGACAAATCTGATAGACCTATTCAATAATATCATCTTCCAGGCCAGAAAAACCACCCTATATGAGGCATTGATTAGATCAGATCTCAGCAGCCTAACGCCAGCAGTGCAGCGAAGCTCATGAAAAGGAGAGGAAGGCATTTTCAGCCCCAATAGTCTCTTTTGGTGAAGAATGCTCATCCACAAAGGGTCACTTCAAGCCATATTTTTGTGTTCCTCAGCGGTAGTCAACTTGCCCTTGGCAGCAACCTCAGGTGGTGCCTTGTGTGGTCTTGGCTAGTTCAGGGACTCTCTTGCAGGCAGTGCAGTGGCCCCTCTTGCTGATGCTGTTGCTGTGCCCAGGAGATACTAACGAGCACAAAATGCTGCGTGTCTGCTCGTGGCTGCTCTGTTCCCTGCTTTTCCCTGTGGTTTCCCAAGGGATTTCAAATCTATGCAACAATCTTGGATCTTTTTCAGACTGCTTTCTGGCACTGAAGTCTTCCTGGCACTACCGGAGGTGCTCGGGCAAGTAATCCAGCAGATGGCTGTGTTGCCCAAGCAAACTGAATGCTCCACCAAAAAGGGGCAAAATCCATCTGTGTCAACACATCATCTTGAGGCCAGGGCTGTGGGATGAAGGCTGTGGGAGCCATCGCAGATTTCCCCCTCCGCGGTTAAAGAGTCTTGGACTCCCTTCAGTCTCTCTTCAGAAGTCCAAGTGTCCTGGACTCCAGAATATATATAATGTAATATTAATGTTTGAAAAAAAGAAAACTATCCTAAAACTTTACCAAAACCCGACACTCTGCATCGTTAACTTCTAATCCCTTTGCACAGGAGAACAAGCCGTGCCTATCAAAGAAAATGTGGAGAACTGGCAGCAGTGCACTGACCCAGCACATGTGAGAAGCACTGGGGTGTGATGCATCCCTTTCTTCACAGGCTCGATACAGAGCCCGCCAAATTCAGTCACAGTCA